CTCGAGGGTCTTGACAAATTGAGAGGTCCCTCCTCTTCGAAAGAGAGAGAAGTTTTGGTTCCCTTATCCTCGAGGGGTTTTGACAAATCGAGAGGTCCCTCATTTTCGAGGGGTCTTGATAAATGGAGAGGTTTTTCATCTTCGAGGGGGTTTGATAAAGGAAGAGGTCCCTCCTTCTCGAGGGGTCTTGATAAAGGGAGAGGTTTTTCATCTTCGAGGAGGTTTGACAATGGGAGAGATCTCTCCTTCTCGAGGGGTCTCTCTTCCTCAAGGGGTTTTGAGGAAGGGAGAGGTTTTTCATCCTCGACGGGTTTTGACAAACGGAGAGGAATCTGAACAGGCTTCTCCTCATCCCCATCATTATCGAGGAGGATGAGGATAGGCTTTTGGAAAGGTTTTTTCTTTTTCTTCTGAACAGGCTCCTCTTGATGCTCGGGGAGAGGGATGGGGTAGTTGTTCCACCATTCTATTTTTTCTTGCTCGAGGATTTTTTCAAAAGTCGTGGCCTCTCTAAGATGAGACGAAGGAGGAGAGTCCTCGAGAAGAATATAATAGGTATTCTTCCCAGTCTTCTCGATCGAGAGAGGTTCGTGCAAACATTTGTGCAACCATTCACTAAAATGAACGAGAATCCCTTTTGTCTTCTCAAGACGATCCATAATCCTATTCATTTGCGAGACGGTTAGAAAGTGGGACGTGTAAAAATATTTGGCTCGTTTCATTAACAAAATTTGTGCATCCAAAGGTGGAATGTCACGAGCCATCAACACGTTTTCGTCGGACAAAAATTCGTCCCGCATCTTTTGATAACTCCCCACGGTATAATAACCCGCACATTTTGAAAAATCGGAGGCTTTCAGGTAAACGACTCCTTGGATGATATAAAAGGAAAGATCAACATATTTATATTTGAAAGGAATACACGTAGTGAGCTGGGGATGCCTCCTCATGATCCACTTGGACAAAAATACGACTTTGGGGCTCTCCCCTTTTATTTATAGAGAGAAAGAGAGTGTGACCTTCCCTTCCCTCCTCCTCCTCTCTCCCTGCTTCCTCTATCTCTGGACGTCCTTGGATTGGAAAGGGTGACTTTGAAAAAAAAAAGAAGGTCATGGTTGGATAATTTTTTGTTTATTAAATTAATTATTACTTTCACTTCCTCATTCCCACACACATTCATCTTTTTAAGAAAAGAAAAAGAGGTCATGGAGATAAGATTTCTTGGAAAGAAGAGAGAGAGAGAAACAAAAAAAAACAAATAAAACGGACGTCATAGAGCCTCTATGTGTGTCTGTGTGTGTCTATATAGATATATAAAAAGACGAGAGTACTGGGCGAGATCATTTCTTTTCCATTGGGAGCCATGTCGCTATTAGACGTTTTTCCAACTCAACGGATTTCGAACGGGGAGGATTTGAAGACGCTAAAGCAAATCTCCAACTTGAAAATTTTTTTGGCGTGTCATTGTGCGACATTTATTCCGCATTTACCACCTCATCAAGCGATCGTTTCTTTCAACCAAGATGTCGAATCCTCCAACCTGCTCGTTCAGAATATATACAGAAATTTATTCGAATCGCAACAAACGAAAGAGGAATCTCCCTTCTCTTGGAATCGGATGGATCGAGCTTTGAGACGGCCCATTCAAACAGACCGGCGATATACAGATCCGCGCACGAGTTTTCGGTGGAAGAATATTTTTCTCACGAAACGATATTTTACGTTTGGAGTGAGAACGACGGCTGAGGACGAAGTTCATATTGTTCAAACCACAGCCGCTCCTCTCGCCTATTACGAATCATCGTCCCCCAATCTGAAGGAAAGAAGTTTTAAAGTCAGCGACAGGATGAAATATAAGAAATATATTCTAAGACCTTTTCAAAACTATGTCGTTCCCCCGAAAACGCAATATCTCATCGTCACAACCCAGAAGAGTCTCTTTCTCGTCGATCGGTGCTCGTACTCGCTTTGGAAACAATTGAAAGAGGAGATTTCTTTCCAATCGCCGATGATGTTTCAAGAAAAAGAAGAAGAAAACCCTCCGCCACCTTTACCCATCCCTTCCTTAGATGATAAGAGGAGCTGGACCAAACCGTTCATTTGGCCCGAAACAAAATCGACCCGGCAACGGAATGAAATTGAAGTCATCACAATTGAAGATGAGGAGGAAGAAAAAAAATTACCTCTTAAAAAACGGTCGACTTACCGGAACCTACCTGGCGTGCAAGATCCGCTTCAGAATCCAGAAGCTTCTTCTTCTTCTTCTTCCCCGACTTGTTCAAACAGGCAACCTCTTTCGGACTCCTCACAGACAGAACCTCTTCCAGTATCCTCTTCTTCTTCTTCTTCTCTTCCTCCAACCTGTCCCGACATCGTAGAGGTAGAATGTCAGACGGGTCCACAAGCTTCAAAAAGTCCCGACATCGTAGAGGTAGAATGTCAGCCGGGTCCACAAGTTCCAACAGGTCCAGAAATCATGGAGGCAGAATCACAGCCGGGTTCACAAGTTCCAACGGGTCCAGAAATCATGGAGGTAGAATTTCAGCCGGGTAAACAAGTTCCAACGGGTCCAGAAATCATGGAGGTAGAATCGCAGCCGGGTCCAGACATCCTAGATCCCTCCACTCATCCCAAAGAGACTCCAAGTGTTTCAAGACAGCCTTGTGAGGATCCAGCCCTTCCCGTATGGAATGATTATATGGACTTACAAAATTTGGTGCAACAGGAAGGAGAAGAAAATAATCATACGGATGGGTGGGTCAAAGACTGTTTAGATCATTTAACCTCGAATGAAATTGAACTGTTATGGAATTGCATTTCTGAAATCACATCGGAAATGGGATAAAAACCAAAACAAAAAAAAATTTTTTTTAATAACAAATTGGAGGAGGGTCATGATGTCAATTAAAAAAAATATTATATAGAGTCCAATCTTGGTGGTTCACTTCAGTTTTCCAGCATGAGGTGATCCACGTTTCCCGAAATATGGATCCCATTCCAAGAGAGATTGTGTAGAGCCTTCACTTCAGTTCTTTTTTTTTTTCCTACCAAGAGGAGAGGGTCCCCAAAGGGCTACCCATGTCCAAAGAGAGAAAGTGTAGAGCGTTCATTTCAGTTTTTTTTTCCAAGTTTAGGGGAGGGAGGTCTCAAAATGACACCCCCCATTTTCAAAGAGAGATGGTGTAGAGCGTTCATTTCTGTTTTTTTCCAAAGTTAGGGAGTTTTCAAATGGCTACCCATTTCAGAGAGAGAGAGAGAGAGAGAGAAGGTGTAGAGCGTTCATTTCAGTTTTCCAACATTAGAAGGTCCCAAAATACCTTCTGAATTCAAAGAGAGATCGTGTAGAGCGTTCATTTCCAGTTCTCCAAGATCAGAAGAAGAGGGTCCGCTTTTCCCAAAAGGGCTTTCCGCATTCAGAGACAGCGAAATGCAGACTTCAGTTTTCTCCCTCCCCAAGAATAGAGGGTCCCAAAATGGCTTCCCATTTCAAAGAGAGAGGGAGAGGCGTTCATTTCCATTCTCCAAGATAGGGTCGTCTGCTTTTTCCCAAAATGGCTTCCCAATTCAAAAGAGAGAGAGAGAGAAAGGGTGTGTAGAGCGGTCATGTTCATTCTCCAAGATAGGGTCGTCAGCTTTTTCTCAAAATGGCATCTCCCCATTCAAAAAGAGATCGTAACCAATTTTTTCCAGTTTTTTCCAAGATGGGGGGGGGAGAAGAAAACCTAGGATGGAATAACACGACACACAGAGAGAAAGAGAAAAAAAAACGCCATCTTGTCATTTTCTGATAGGGTACCGGTGTTCGAATACTTTTGTGACCGACTGTTTGAATGAAAAACGAAAATTTTATTCAATTAATTGAGAACCTTTTAATAAGTTGGAATAACTAACCTAAATAATAGAACAACGTAAAACAATAATTATCTCTAAAAAAATGGTAACATGTTGCTTTTTTTTTTAAATGAAAGTTTTTAATAGATTCTTTTCACAATCAACAACCTTATATCAACAAGAAAATAAATATTAATAAAATAAAACTGATTTATGTGAATTCAATGATTTCAGTTTATGCGCGTTTCATATTTATGAATCTCAGAGAAATTACCTTGAATTAAGCTGAATTACAGAAATATACCTATATAAATTTTTGGATATATCTTTTCACATGTTCAATTGTGTAAATATTTTACTTACGTTTATCGCTATACTGCCCCAGAAATTTGTAAGCTTATGCAAAAAACATTTTAACAACAGAACAGTTTATCTTGATCAAATGCACAAATTATATTTCGTAACAGTTCACAAAACTTAAGAATGAATAATAATTAATACATAAAGAAAAGCGTTGCTTTATTTAACACCTTTTTACAATTCATAAAATAGTAACAATTGATTTCTTACTTTTCGTGAAAATTATAAAACGAATTATCTAAGCGTTCAAATTATACAGCAAGCATAAAATCCTAGCATATATCATTGTATGTTAAAGAACGAAGATACCAGCTGTAAGCAAAAGCATTAAAATGTATTGTATTTAACATGTTTCGATTATTATTAAGTCTTTTTTGTCACATCTGGAAAGAAAACAACATGACATTGTGACATTTTTTTAACATATTTATGAAATTACATAAAAAAAAAAAAGAAAATACTTACGAGTGAATAGTAATCCCGGGAATATTTTTCGAAAATCTATTTGTGCATCCATATGCAATATAATCAGACATGCTTCAAAAAGAAAAGGGAAAAAAAAAAAAAAAGAAATGTTACAATTACAGACTTCCTTGCACAAGTCACAGTGATAACAGTAACATGGCCACCAAGCTTCACCGTTTGAGTTGAACCTTCCCTCCTTCTATTCTTCTATCCTCCTTGTTGAATATTGTAATTGTCGTACTCCTTACCTTAGCTCATTGGGTTGGTACAGTCAAAGAACTTCCAAGGCCAGAGTTGAGAAGTTTTAAAATTTATATTTCTGAGATGGCAACAATCGTATTTTTGGAGCAAAATTTGAAGTTATGAGTAGCGTTTACATGTTTTGTTTGTCAACGTTCTGTTAGGATTGTAAGCTTACGAGTCCTTTCTTTTATTAATATATATGATTAATTTGATTTAAATTAGCAATTTAAGGTAATGTCAATGTTTCATTTGTGTATTTCATTATCTTATGCTATATTCAATTAGGCGTACGTTGAAATATTTTTGTCGTTTCAAAGTATTTTGTGATGTATTGATTTTAACATTTTATTTCTAAATAGGAATGTATTCTGCTTAAATCTTTATTATCTATTTCAAGGTAATAATTTAATGACGAGTTTTAATTTATCAGTAATGACTCGTAGATGAAAGAATGTTATCATTTCACTGTATAAAGCGATTAGTTCGTCACACATACGGATACGTAAATTTGCCAGTATTGTATAGTTGGATTTCCAGGTTTATACAAATAAATGTGGTCCGTTATAGGACAAGGTTTTTGAAATACGTCATTCTGTTTCATGCTTTATTTATGATCTAATCTAAGAATGTATTTCTTACGTTTAGCAAAATTTTACCACTTCCAAAATGAGCTGATAATGAAAATATGTTATCTTGTTGATACTATCAAGCTGAAACATGTGTCTTTCTAGAGAAAGCAGGATACTTTCTGAGTATCTAAAGTCTTGGTTTCAACACAGGATAGAAATTTTATGTTTTTCGCATATTTTTAAGCCAACATAGAACAGCTAAATCACGCATGTGAGTGCCTCACTCTTTGATAATTTTGCTCATCATGCAGATTTTTTTTTTTATATAAAGTTTTGGCTAATCTTTAGAATATGGTAACAGGTAGTTTGGCGACATTTTGGTAAGGCAATAAAGGTTAATAGCTAGGGCTTTAACAATAATCTGAGAAGTACACAGTTCGAATCACAGATTATTTTGTCTCGGAGAAATGAGACATGTAATGTGACATTTTCCGGAAAATTCCGATCATGATTTTAGCTAATAAGCACTTAGAAACAATTTCGCTACTAGAGTGCAAAATCGCTCACTTATTTGTTTGGCGCTTTTTACAAGAGTAAGAATTTGATTTTTGTCAATTTTCTTTGACTTTTTAAGTGAAAATAGGTCGATGTGTACATAGATAAAGTCAAGAGTGTGCGCAATGCCATTTTTGTGCAATTCTGGGATGTTTTTTTAAGTGAAAATAGGTTGACGTGTAAATGGATACCGTGTATGTGCAATTCTTAAAAATGCGCCAAGCAGTTTGTGATTCTGCACTTTCTCCCAATTTCGCACCTAATCTTCGTCATGATTAAGCATTTTTGTTCCATAAAAGTTCTAGTATAAGCGTAATTTGCTAGCAGATTGTTGGAAAAAATGTTGAGTTTAAAAAAAAAAAAAACCGCTTTTACTTTGTGAAAACAAAATGGCGTCCAAAACAAAACTAGCAGGTTGCTGTAGCAGGGTTGGTCGCCAAAAAATCGCCAAGTTACCATAATGTAAAGATTCAGCAAAGTTTCTTCTTTTTTTTTCTTTTATAATTTCTTGTTTCTATTGAAATGCTTCTTTTTAGTATTAATTATGCAAAGAAGTTAGTGCCTAGCTGCTGCAAACTTGACCAAAGAAATTTTTTTTTGCCTATTCTCAGAGTTGCTAATGAATTGTCAATTTTCAATGGAGCTATGGATCTCAAAGTACCAAACATTTTTTGGTACGTTCTGTCTTACAGTGGAAAAATCCTTTATTTACTGACAAGGCAATAATCAATGAAAAATTGTAGGTTGCTTCAATAGAGTTGATATTTTTTTATATGTCTCTTTATCAACAAGTACAGTATGAAATTTCATATATATATATTTATAAAAAGTATTCTCTTAAAAGTATAACTCATGTTCTCAGCATTGCATTTGTTATAAAATGCCAATTATTTGCCAATATTTACAATAATCATATTTTCTCTTTAAATAGAGTAATGATGGGCAAAAGAGGAAAAAAGTCTCAAAGAAAGGTCATACATCTCCTTTATCGGAAAAAAAATGTACCACCACTTTCCCAACTGCTAACTATTAGTAAGCTAACTCTCCTTATACAATTTAATTTCACAGATTTGAATTAATAAATTTCTAAAATACATTTTGTGTGAATATTTAATTATTTCAGAAGCTGTTTATTATTGAGAATAGTTTAATATTTAAATTTGCATTGTTTGTGTAATGCAAATTTAAATATTAACTTATTAATAACTTATTAACTGTTGAATAATTATATGTTATGCTTCTGTAACTGCTGAAGAAACTATATATTTATAAACTATTAGTTTGTATTTTGGTTTTTAATCATTCGTCTCCTAATTTTTGCCTCTCTTAAAAGTTAATAATCCTTTAGATCTACTTTCATATATTTGTTTATTTTGTGAATTAATCCACAAGTAATTTGCTAGGAAATGTTTTAAAAAATTGTAAATTTGCTGTGATTTCTAAATTAAGAATTTAATTTTTATGTTTAAACTTGTGTCGCGAATCTTAATCATATTTAGCAGTATTATAAGAAATGTATTTTATACTTGAATTTATGACAATTTGGTTTGCCTTTCAAATGTAGAAAATTTTATGGGTATTTGTCTTCTGCAGTGGCTTTGGCAAAAATGTTTTGGCATATTTCTGAACTGGCAAGAAACAAATGTTTACAGATTTGTGCTTGTGCAAGAAACAAATGTAATACCACCCTGTCAATATACAGGGATAATGTAATACCACCCTGATTTTCATGCAAAATACTCATTATGCCTTTTTATATTTGAACAGAATCATAAATTTTAAGGTGTTTAATTTATTATAGTATACAATTTTGTTAGCAATTTATTAAAAAAATTCTAAAATTCATGCATATTCTAAAATTTATTGTTTACAAACTCTTTCTGGTGGCCACAGTTCAGCTATTCAATTGCTGCTCATTATGCCTCAAACATAATAATATCACAGCCAGTTTGGTGCCTGAACATGAACTCCAGGTAATGGTGAGCTGTAACCTCTGGGCTTTTTGTATCGCCATTTTGTTGATTCCTGTGATCCCATACGAAAGAATATTTGTAATCCACTAAACCAACTCTCAGTACAGACTTTTGTCTTTTTTATAGCTGCTTCAAATGGTTCTTTTTAACATATAATTAATTGCATATTATGCCCATTTTCACAAATTTTTTCTTCTTGTAATTTTTTTTGGGGGGGGGAATACCTTCTTTTTCAATTGACAATATACTCAAAAGAGTAAGCATGATAAATATTTGCAATGAAGAACCACTATAACAGTAACAGTTTTCATTAGCCGATGATACATGAACTACAAGCGTGCATATTATATTTTATATTACCATTATATTTTAAACATCATTATATTATACCATTATATTTTAGGTTCTGCTCGTATATGCGCCCTAAGATTATCAAATGTGGCGATATGTGTTCTGCACTGGTTTTTGGCATGATTCTGTGCTGAGGGATAGTTTGGTGGACGATGCTGTTTGTATGGCAACCCTTTTGACGTTGAAACTTAACTCTTTGCTGCATTGTCATGCGTGTTTTGAAATGGCCTATTTTGCAATGACGTGGTGAGAAGGTTTCAGTCGCATATTTTAGATTGTGTGGAAAGTAAATTTAGTATTAAAAGGTACGATGTTGGAGTTGTTAACGAGTCTTTTCTTCATGGGTGTGTTTATGAGGTTCGAGGTGTATTTTTGGAATTTCTGTGGTACTTTTAAAATGGAGTGCGAAATGCGAAGCTGCTACGAGAATTCGGATGATGAAGGGCATTTCTGATAGTTGTGTGGATTTGCAGTCAAATGTTTGCTGGTAAAGTATGTGGCTTAAAGTCAGTGGAGTTTAAGATTTGGATCGTGATTTTCGTGTAGTAAGTTAACTTTGGAGGAAGTTTTTATCGTTAATTTCGAAATTTTGAATCGCAGAAAGACATGTGATATAGCAAAATCGTGGCATTTTTGTTGACATGTTGTGTGACTGGCGAAATTTTATTCCGTATGTATTATGGTAAGTGCATTTTATTTTATTGTTTTTATTTTGTAGAATGTTATGTTCATTGTTTTTCTTACTATGAATTTCTGTTATTTGAATTGTTTGTAATTTATTTCGGTTTATTTTGTTGATTTGTGCACAATGCCTAGATTGTGCAATTCGTAGATTTTTTTTTTTTTTTTTAACTTTAAACAAGATTCTGTGTACATGGTATTCTTTGAAATTTATTGTTGTTATGTTAATTTATTAAAGCGAGGTGTGCATAGTTCATAGTTCAATTTTAAAATAAACGTATTTCACTCAAAATTAAATGCCATCGAGCCCAGGGGCTTTCTTCATCTGTTAGGAGCTGATGGTGTTGGCTACAATTATTGGGGCTGTCAGGAAAGTGAAGCTGTACAGAACAGGAGTATTAAGGAAGTTATTGACCACCAGGCTGACCCACTGAATATGGTAATTGTCGTACTCCTTACCTTAGCTCATTGGGACACCGTGTATGTGCAATTCTTAAAAACGCGGCAAGCAGTTTGCGATTCTGCGCTTTCTTCCAATTTCGCACCTAATCTTTGTCATAATTAAGCACTTTTATTCCATAAAATAAAAGTTCGTTTGATCTTTACAATATGGTAACTGGTAGTTTGGCGACATTTTGGAGGCGATAAAGGTTACTACCTGGCACTTTGGTAATAATATGAGCAGTACTCAGTTCCGATTACGCATTATTTTGTGTGAGGGAAATGAGAGATCATGGCATATGTCATGTGATATTAATGGACGACGGTTCTTTAATCGGAAAAGGGGGGAAATCGGGAAAAAATCTGGAAATTTTGTATTTGGCTTTATTCTGTGTTGTGTGAAACAGTGTTCGTGAATTTTTGGATCCCATAGCCGTAACTAAAGTGAATTCGAAATGGGTATTTATGTATGTATTAATTTAATGTATGTGCTCATTTATATTTTAAGTAGTGTTTTTGAATTAATTTATTTTATTAAATGATAGTTATTTTGTGAATTTTATGTTTGTAGGAATTTGGTATACGTTTTAGTTGAAGTAAATGTGCATGGAAATAATATAAATATCTGACATATATGTTCTTTTTACCGGGTTTAAAGATTGAGAAAATTGTCATGTATTTTCGTGAAATTTTTTTTAATTTATGAGAAAAAAGCAGTGTACGTGGATATAGTGAAGAGTGTGCGCAATGCCATTTTTGTGCAATTCTGGGATGTTTTTTAAGTAAAAATAAGTCGGCGTGTACATGGTTTAGTGATATTTTAATTAAATGATAGTTATTTTGTGAATTTTATGTTTGTAGGAATTTGGTATACGTTTAAGTTGAAGTAAACGTGCATGGAAATAATTTAAATATTTGATACTAAGTATTTGTAATGCTTGCGGTATGAATTTGTTGGTGACGTGTATAATGTAATAGATGATTTAGAGGTAAACGTTTTTGGATATTTTATTTATTTTATATGTGGAAATGTTCATTACTTTTTCGCGATCAGGTAATTTCATATATGTTCTTTTTACCGGGTTTAAAGATTGAGAAAATTGTCATGTATTTTCGTGAAATTTTTCTAATTTATGAGAAAAAGCAGTGTACGTGGATATAGTGAAATGTGTGCGCAATGCCATTTTTGTTGCAATTCTGGGATGTTTTTTTAAGTAAAAATAAGTCGGCGTGTACGTGGTTTATGTGTATGTGTTATTTTGAAAAAACGCGTAAGGAGTATGGTATTTGTGCACTTTTTTCCCAATTTTGCAGTGAATATTTGTCATGATTAAGCAGTTTTGTTAGATAAAATTTCTAGCATAAGTGTAATTCGGCTAGTAGATTGTTGGAAGAAGTGTTCAGTAGATAAAAAGAAAAGAAACATGTCTTTACATCGTGAAGAAAAAATGGCGGCGGGAAAGAGAGTTGGTCGCCAAATTTTCGCGAAAAAAACGCCAAGTTACCATAATGTAAAGATCAACGAAAAGTTCTAGCGTAAGCGTAATGCGGCTAGCAGATTGTTGCAAAAAATGTTGAGTAAAAAAAAAAAAAAAAAAACCATGCCTTTACTTTGTGAAAACAATATGGCGTCCAAACAAAAGCTAGCAGGGTTGGTCGCCAAAAAATCGCCAAGTTACCATAATCCAAAGATTAACTCATTTCTCTAATTCTAACTTGTACTGTTTTAGAAATGCCAGCCATATTAGACCCTTTGTCATAAGACTGACACCGACATTGTCCAATATCTAAACCATCAAGTGTCAATTAAGACACTAATTTTCTACAATGCATTTAGAAATACATTCTTCTATCTTTCCACCAACTTCTATGAAATCAATTTAATTTTCCTTTATCTCACACTATCACCACACATTTTTACGTATTGAGTCACCTGGTTCATTTTTTCTTTATGAGACACATATGGGGTAAATATAATTCCTTTCCCTTTGTTAGGTGCTTTGACTAATGAAGATTAGAAGAGTTGAATTATGTTAAGAGTTGAATTATGTTTGGCAAGCGAAGAGATTAAGTCCAGGAAATTTCTTTCCCTATATCAAGGACATTTTGTAAACAGGCTACTTGGGATTTCATCAGATCCAAGAAAATAACAACAGCTTGTTGAAAGATATAGTACCGCATCCATGACTATATAGAATTTTTCTCCATTTTTCTTTCTCTGTATGAATGAGTTGCTCAGTGTCGTGATCGATGCCTTGGCAGGATTTCATTTGTTGTACTCGAATTTTCCACTAAATCATGCACCTCTGTGGATTCCAGACGCTTCACACTCAGTTAATCTTGCTAAAACGTTTTTCCAATTAAAGAATCCTGTTGTATGGTGTGACGGCAGCACCATGTCTCTGATAAATCTTGCAGGGTGTACAAAAAATTGCATTCTTGTTTTTAGAATATGTAAACCAAGATCTAAGCTTTTTATTATTTTCTAATGTTCTGCATTACATGTCAAATGTGCTGCCATCACGTTCAATGGGATTGAGGTTTATGTTTTACCGGATGTCTACCGGCTAGGAATACTGATTGATTGTGTCATTCTGCTGCCCATCCCCAGGTAAATGAAGAGATCTTTATATCGTGGTTTCATGTCCTCCAGCTATTTGCTTGATGTCGATGAAGAAGGTTGTACTTTCAAATGCTGACTTGTAGCTTGTTTGAGGATGATATATGTGATCATGTTTGGTCATGCAAATTGCAAGAAGTGTTAATGCCCTCTAGAATCTCAGCATAATCGGAATTGTGGCAGGGTCTGATGGTTAACTTCTTCCGTGAAGTTATTTTTTCCATCTTAGCTGAAATTTGTTTTCTCTTTGGCTCGTTTTCTGTATTCCGCTTTTCTCTCCCTCGATGTGCAGATGGTTTCTTTTAATCTAACTATACTCGATGAATATTAATTTGAATTATTTCATTTGTCCAGGACGGCCCAAGGTTAATTTTTTGGGTTAGCTCTCGAAAAATAGTTACAGTCCTTCTCCATTTCCCAGCAGACGTTGCTATGGGAACCAGGTGATTTCTTTAACAATCTATCGTTCTATTTCTTATTTGAATACACCTGGCCCAGACAGCAAATGATGCAGCGACTCCAGATGTTACTGATAGGGTTTGTCTGATTCTATCAGTGACTCCTGGAGTCCCTCTATTGGCCTCTTTCTGATCTTGTATTTATAGTTGTAATCAGCTGTACTTAACTTCATTTTAACTCTTGTTCCTTTAAAAGGGTTCTTAGTATTTAATTACTGTAATTTCCGGAAGAAAGGCTGCATCAGCGTAAACGCCGCACTCGAGAAAAATGGCGGAAAAAAAATTAAAATTACACAGAAACGCCGCATCAGCGTAAACGCCGCAATAGATTAAATTGTGCGTGACAACGTCGTGGGCCGTATAGATGCAAAAACTCAACCTAAGTCCCGATATATGACATACCAGTTAAGAAAAATGCATGAAATGAAACCATAACTCAAAAATAAATTAAAGGTAAGAAATGTATAGCTTCTGTGCCGTTTAGAGACATTTTCAAAAATTTTCCGCTCCCTTCTTACTTAAAAACTATCCAACAAGTACTTGTACCCAAACTGATGGGATCTGTATTCTGGCAGAATGCCAAGAAAAATCCATTCATGCTGAAGGGGAAATACGTCAGAGTTCGTTATTGCGAGGCAGGTGGAGTCGTGTCCGCCTTTTGAAAAAAATTGCAGAAAAGGCAGGGGTGGGGGAAGAGGATGGGTCCTGGAAGATTCATCGAATGGCAGAGGAGAGAGACTATTCAAACTGATGAGAAAGTTGATTTGAAAGGGGGAAGAATGTTATTGTTCCTGAGATCTCGTTTAGGGGTGAATAAGGCATGTAGGTCCGTTCAAGGGAAAGAATGTAAACAAAATAACGTTTCGCAAAAAGCAACTGAAGTGGGTCTTTTGTGGGTGGGAACAGCACCAGTCTGTGTACAATGCACAAGGCCATCCAAACTATGTACAATGACCATCATAGGAAATATTTTATTTTTAGTGCACCTAAACGCCGCACCCGCTGAAAATTTAAGTTTTAAACACGTAAATGCCGCGGCGTTTCTTCCGGAAATTACGGTACAAATCTTCTTAAAAGAGGTTTTTAAAACTTGGCCTTAAAGCTATTAACATTGTACTAAAATTAGACAGCTGTTTTAGAGAACAACATACCAAAATGATCCAGCGTTATATTTGAATTTGCCGCGCGGGGCAAGAACCCCTGCTTGACCCCCGCTAGATCCGGGACTGTCACTGTTTACATGGATTTTTGTCAAATATTTTTGGTTAGAAACCTTACGTGTTTGCTATCTAAATTTTTTGTTTTGGATTTTTAGCTTAATTTGTGTGTTCGAAATGTGGGTTTTTGCATGTGCGAAAACCGTGTTTTTGGAGACATTTTAGGCTTAAAGTTCGAAATGTAGAAATTTAGATAGTAATATGGCACTGTGGAGTTTCTCGCCGCATTTGGCAACTTGAGGGCGCATATAAGAGTAGTTCCATATTTTAAAATCAAAAGTAGAAGAATGTCATTAAAATGAAATGAATTGTAAAATGCAAAATCTAAATATTAAAAAAGTGGCCAGAAGTAGCATTTATAAAATAGCAGATTTTTATGTAAGCTTAATTTCTTTTAGCAAAGGGATTGAGATTAATTTTAGAGAAATCTATATGAAAGCACGAAAAACAATGTGTTGTAATGAGAAGCTGATGTTTCCAAGTGAAACCCAAGAACTGATACTTTCCCTGCAGTTTCATTGCATATTTTAAAAAAATGTTAAAAAAACCCACACAGTTAATTTCTTTTTGTCATTTTTTAAAAAATAAAGCAAAGTGTTTGTTTTATAATCTATGAAAATTTCAAAACTTTGTTACTGATATATTTTTAGATGTGCAATTTGAAGTTAATAAACATCAAAAAGACTAAAATTTGAGTAATTTTCAAATTCTTCCCTTCCCCAAAATTACATTAAAAGTTTTTTTTTTCCTCCATTGTATCCAACCATGCAAATAATAAAATCCTGAGATTTTCAGTTTGTGCATTAGATGTAAATATGACGAAAAACTGCTTCAACATTAAATTCACAATTCTTATTCGGATTTTGAAAAATTCATGTCACCACATTGTACTGTCATCCACAAGCAGTCTAATGTCTGGGATTTGAACTCGATACCTCTTACTTGGAAGCAGTTTAAAAATCGATGACAAACATTATGAGTGAACAATGATAATGACTCATAACTTTTTCAAGAACTATTGTGAAAGTTGTGGTATCCTGTGTAGCAATAGTAAAAAACGTTAAAAATGCATAAATAGCATTAAAAATCAGCTAATTCGATTCACATTTGTGGCATTATTGCTCGCATGGCTTATGGATAAATTAAAGGAGAGAACGGTCTTCTGAAATGTCCCAAAAGACGAAGTTCCTTTTTGTCTCCTATTATCCCTCTTGCTAATGGCAGTTGGGCAAAGCAGCACTGCATGTGAACAAGGCTTAAGGCTGTCATTATCTTACTTATTTTGTTAGTAAAACTTGAGCATAAATGCCACAACTCTTCTTTACAAGTATGAAAAATCTCATTTGATTGTTTAATCTAAGATGTGCCATCAATACTGAACTGAATATCGAAACATGAATGCAAATGATATTGCTCAAGTGAGAATCGTAAGTAATATATATATGAGTTTAATATATGTTATAAAATCTTTAGTATTTAAGCTTTTTTTAAATCAGATGGAAATAACTGGATGACAGTTTGTATTTAAATTTTTATTTCAGCTTCACAAGCAAAAAAGATTAAAAATCTTGTACAAAATAATCGAGCTCTCGCTTTTGCTGCCCATGAAGCTCGGTCCGAAGTAGCCACATATAAAAATATGCTTCAGGATTATTTCAGAGATAGAAATCAAATTCTGGTAAGTTGTTTTTATGTCAAAATCTGCTCATCTGAGAACATATATGTTATTGGATTTAATTTTGAAGTTATATTTAGGATGGCTGAAATATATATATTTCCCAGTCTGATATTTAACTTTCATAAATACATTTATTACTGTTAATATAATAAATGTTTTTTTATTTACGTGTTAAAGAAGCAATGTGGGTCTTGTCTTCATTTAAATTATTAAATTCAAAATTGATTTTTGAATTTTGCTCGTTGGTTTGTATTTACAATTGTTTGGCAAACAAATAATGTACGAAATTGTTTAGAAGAGCCTGTCAGTTGGCTGCCTCTCCAAGCAAATCTGAATGAATAACATAATTTTTGCTGCAAACTGAACAAAAATAAATGAAGTTATTTAAACTTTTTGAATAATAGTAAAAGTTGGAATTGTGATTACTTTTTGTTTTTATTTATTGTATTTTGATTTTTTCTCAATAGAAAGCTAATTTTAAACATGCATATCCAATGTGCTTTGGCTATAGGCTTTATTTTCTTAATTATTGATCTGTGGCATGACCTTACAATTATAAAGTTTCTCTAAAAAAAGTAGTGAATCATAAAAAGTAAAATGTTCTGTTTTATGTGTAAAATTTGTGAAAATGTTAAAAAACACATTTGATAATATTGACCATTTTCCAAAGCATATAAAATAATATCTTTTCTAAATTTTTATCTAACAAGCCAATTACTTGTTTATGTCTTCCAATTACACCTGCTCAAATCCAGTGCTTATTTATATATATTGTTGAACTTTGTGCAAACTGAACTTTGCTTGTCCTTGTGATGCCACAAACAAGTCTTATGAATTCTGTGATCGAGTGATTTGATAAATAGAAGCGTTCCTTACTCAAATTTCTCTCAAAAAAAGTAAGAAAGCTGAAAATAAAATTAGGTACAGAACAAAAGATTTAGAATATCCAATTAAATGTTAATATATTTTGCATTAGTATAACAATATCAGTAGTTCAAAAACCCAAAACATGCATTATAAAGTGATTTTAAGTCAATTTGCCATTCTCTGGACATTGCATTCTTTGCCATTCTTTGCAGCATCTAAACCTCTTCGTTTTCCCCTTTTTTGCATAAAAATATCCGTTTTGCACACTTCAAGGTTGAACTATAGGGCAGTTTTACAGATGATAGGGTTATTTAGATAAGTTGCGGTAATTTTCGAAGAAACACAAATATATACACACAAGCATATTTAAGGATTTATAGTGATCAAATAAGTTCAGAATTTCATTGAAAAGATGTAACAGAGATTCATAATTGTGATGACTCAGTATAATTTCTAGCATTGAATATAATCCTTTTTTATTGATATAGCATTTTCATAATGCAGTCAGCAGTGGTTCTGATTTTTTGATGTCATGGACAAGCAGCAAATTGCATTCGTAATGTCAGAAAGGATGTCAAAATGAATAATAACACCACCATATGGTTGCATACCAACCATAAGCACTATGATGGGGGATGTTAGCGGAATGATCTGAAATTGGTGTTATTATTTCTACGGGACTTCATTCAAGTTATGCTGCAAAGAATAATGATATACAACATCTGTGTATTTGAGTATTTCATGAGTAGGGATCATACAATGATAACCATATGTAATAATAAGCATGACTATAAAATTGTTGGGGTTCATATACAGGGGCTGTTCGCACATTTTTTTTAGATGGTTTTGCTTTGCTGTAAAAAAAAAAATCATCTGCTTGGAAGTTTGTTTTTTAATTGCAACTACATTTTTTAAGTATAAATTATCGTCTGCTACATGACAGTTTTGTTTTCATGCAAAATGGCACTTTTAAAGAAGCAGTGTATGGAATGCTATGTTTGTACACTTTTCAAACAAAATTTTTCATATCTAGTTATTAAAAAAACTCTGTGAAAGTCATGCTTTTTTTATATTATAAGCTACGATAGGTAATATTATGAACAAGAAAGAAAAAAACATCAGAGTCTGGCTTCAAGCAAGAAAATTGTTCCAAATACATATGCAAGGAAAAGTCGCAATGTTTCGAATGTTGTAAGGTAAGATTTTTAATGTTTTAAAAAAAAATCCACCAGTTTAAAAGGACAGTTGCGAAATTATTAAAATCCTGAGTTTCAACTGTAAACAAAGTGATTAATGCTGATTTTTATCTTATAAAGGTGAAAAAAACCTAATGTGTGTCATAGTTCTCTATGGCATATCACGAAATGCCAGGAGTGGTTTGAGCGGCTACCAGGTGCACCTGCAGGTGAATGTCCTGTATTTTCTGGCAGGATTGCTTCAGATATTAAATAAGAAGTCGTGAACCCCCCTCCCATAACACTGGTGTTATGCACCCCGTGCCTAGGATGAATGACACTGTGGTTATAGTGTCTTAATGGAGCCTCTAGAATGTCTGGCAACTTCTAGAGTATTTTGTCTTGCCCAGCAACAGGCAATACTGGGTGGACCTTTTTTATCCTGTACTTTTTTAGTTTATATATGGCAGAAAATGACAATATAACTAGAAATTCCGCTTTTGCAGGCAAAACCTTTAAGGTAGACCTTTTTTTCTCAAAACAAAACCCAGTGGAAGTCCATCAAAGAAGAAGAAATGAATCCTTCATCGAGTGAGGTAGAAATGATCTCTACTTAAGTTAGTGGAGAAGGGCAGGAAGCTAATAAAAACATGACTGCCTCTCTACATAAAATCAAAAAGAGGGAACGAGGAAACATGCCATATTATGTATGTGATGCCCTTGCCTTCACTCGCTTTAGGTACTTTAGATACATTGAGAATACTCTAGGTATTCTCAATACTAAAGAGTTACACCTGAGCTCTATTAAGGGGCAGCCAGACCTTATAAACAAAGTGGGCGACCCAAACAGATGGAATTAGGAAGCATTTGGTTTCTGCATTTAGCACAAAAGGCTGTTTAGCAGATGTGTCTGATACCTGACAAACTCAATTTGAAGAAGATATTGTGAAATGCAGAATTCTTAATGAGAAACATTTATCTGAACAAAAATGGGAAAATGTTGTCACATTAGATGCATCTTGGATCTATTTATTATCATCAAAGAGGAGGGAAAAAAAATCTTAAAAACATGGTTCAAAGGATCTAAAAGTTTTTCGAAGTGATTTATGGTTGAAGCTGGTTTTTCATATAACAGCAAATTGAAAATAAAGAGAGTGGGAAAAATGTTAAGATCAGTTCCACATATTACCAGGAACGTATTTTATACCCAGTTTTCAAATATGAAATACCTTCTCTTTACCCACACTGCCATCAATCAGTAGAACTGCATCAAAACAAAGCAAGCAGCCACACATCAAAATCCATCATTAATTTTGTGGAATTAAAAATGGCTATCAAGTCCATACCTTTCATTCATATCTCTACTAAATCTCCTAATGGATTTTTAGACTTTTAAAATGCAGATTGTCCAAACATCAACCTACAACCCCCATTGGACTTTGGAGAGCTGTTTAAGAGGAATGTAATTTAAGAGGCTGTTTAAGGAAAATACCTCTTCCTATACTACAAAAGGCATTTGAAATTATGATGGAGAAACATAATGAAAAATAAGGGTTATCAAGTAGTACATTTAAAACACAAAAAATGTAGGTGAAATATCTATGTAAATACAATGAAAATCATATAAAAAATGTGCAAACAGCCTCTGTATATTTTCTTTTGATGTGAAAGCCACAATGGCACAACTTGTTTAACTGATGTTTAAGTTCAACTTCATATAAATGCATGCTTGTGTCTTATTAAAGGCAACTGGTGTTTTTTTTTTTTTTTTTTTTTTTTTTTTTTTTTTTTTTTTAAGTGGAAATAAAATGTCATAAAGTGAAATTGCTGTGAAATGAAAACAAGATAAAACAGTTTATAATAGCTATTATTAAAAAAGTTAATTAAATATCACCTTATATAATGACAAAGAATAACTTGTTTCTCTATATCTTGGGGGGGGGAAATGGTACGCTAGGTTTGTGATATGTAAAATGTGTAAACACTTTAGACTGAAGTTGTTCAAAGCATCTTAAAAATACTGTATTAGTTGTAGTTCTTGATATTCTTGTTACATCATTAGGATTGCTATTAATTTTTGCTTTTAGTTCATTTTTAAATAAATCGAATGATGGTTGGTCTTTTTATATAGCAAATTAATATTGAAGTCTCGACTGAGAATCATAAAAATTAATCCTTTATAGCACCATCAACTGTGTATGCTAGCATTATTATGCGGAGAAAACACATGGTCCTGCTGTAAGTGATATTAGGAGACATGTAAATTATATCTATATTATTCATGATTTACATTTCAACAGCATAATTTACCATGTCTCTTAAAATTGAATGATAAATTAAAATTTGGAACCTTTAGGCTGTTTTCATTACTAAATCAAGTTTCACAAAGGAATAAAATGCTAAATTTTTGAAGAACAGAATCTATGAGATCTCTAGCATGCACTCTTAAACATTGGCAGTTCAAAAATGTCATTGATAATCCTTTCTACTTAGTAATAGAATCAACGAGTTGTAGGTCTCTTGTTTTGAGATGATTAAATCTCTTTGTTGCAGGCAAAAAGTGAAAGTTACAGACATTCACATAGTTAGTGTTCAACAGAGGTAAAATCTTTGGGTCATTATTAGCAGTCAGGATATAAAGACCTTCAATGGTAGTTACTCCTGATAGAATAATGTATAATAGTTACTGTGAATGATTCTTATGATATTTATTCCCTTGGTTACTAATCCTCTTGGGGCATGAAAGCCTACACCACGTCCAGAAGACCTTACTGCACAAGTGAATCACAGACAGCATCCTGCTCAGCCAACAGCTGTCTCAGGGAGACGCCTAAACAATCCAGTGTGTGAGCGAGAGAGGCAGGGAGGGAACAGGCTCATGAGGGAAAGGTCCTTCCCCCTGCCCCATTTATTAGAGGCATTCTTTGACCCGCCATTTGGAGATGCGCCTTCTAGGGTTTACACCTCCCTTAAGGGATGATATTTGTAAATAACTTTATTGAACATTCTTCCATTATGAACTATTGTGGCACAGGATAAGCAGAAGATATTGATTAGCAACAATAGTTTTGTTATTGTTTAGTGAAAATGTTGATATCCTTCATTCTATTGGAATTGCTGATTGATTAATATTATTTTGCCATAAATTATGTTTTCCTGTTGTCTTTCTACCCCACACTAAATATTAATGTGTGTGCACAACATGCGGAACTATGTGATAATGATCAGTTACATCATGGACAAAAAGTTTAGCCATGTAGGTGTTGACACTGTCACCTACTATTAGTTTCCCTTTGGCAATTCTTTGGTTGTATTAAATTTGCAACCTAATTACAGATCATTTTTTTTGGGGGGGGAGAACTGATTTATAATAAATATTATTACTATTGGATTCATTTAATTAATTAATTTTAATAGTTTTATTTTATTGATTTTAAATTCATTCTCTTAAATTAAATTTTCTTGAATTAGTTTTGTTTCTCATGCAGATATAATTCAGAAACATGGCTTTAGTGAAAATTCATTATGCTGCTCCTTGATAAAAAGCTGAAAACAATAGGAAAGTTTCAGTCAAACCCATTTTATGGAAGTGTTACATACCTGAACGATAAAGTCACTGGCCACAAAATTGTTACAAATATTGTACACTGCAGGAAAAAAAGGGAGACATTTCTATATCTCTCATTCTACTGGGCCAATTTACAAAATTCAAGTTATGTTTTTCGTGTCTCGAAAACGTGATTTAGGATATATATTAGATTTATATATAGCATTGTTCTAACATAGGTATTTCGACACAAAATCAGACTTGTTCTGAAATAACACACCAATTTTTTCCCCATATTTCGACAGTACGACTCAAATTATGCCAAAATATTAAATTTTGTAAAATTTGGTGCGAAATTTATGGAGAAATTCAAAAATTTATCTTGGCGCAATGTTTTCAATTTGCACCAAGAATAGTTCACTTTGCACACTTCTTAATATTTGGCAACCAATTTTCCTTTTCCTTCCATTATGCCGTAGTTGGGAAAAAAAAAAAAAAAAAAAGCACCTCTTTCCTATCATTTTACATTGTGCATGAGTGGGGGAAAAAGTCGCATCGTTTTTACTTTCAAATAATTTTAGCAATGTGTCTAAACCGCATTTGATGTCTTATTGCTTTCAACAAATATGCTAAATTTCAAAACTCGCCAATATATAAATTCACGTATATCTTCGGAAATTTTGAATAATAAAGTGTATTTTTTTTTTTTTTTTTTCAGGTATGCTTAGAAAACATTACTTTAAGATGATGGTAAAAATTTTATAGATTATAATTCAAATTTGTTTTTGAAAAATTTATAAAAATTATTTAAAAATACAAATTTTAAAAATATATCGTAAAAAATGGGACGACAGACCTCTTGAATACGCACTGAGCGTGCAGACCAGCACACCACAAATGCAAGTTAAGAAGGCGAGGGCGGGAGTCATAATACTTTATAACATCACTGGATAAATTCCTGAATCTTCAAATAATTTGACTGAGAAATCATGGGATGTTTCGTTTATGATACGATATGCTGTTCTATGATGTAATTTAAATTTATACAACCATATAGTCACAAACCAGTCGCTCTTCAGTTTAATCTGCAATAATATGGCTTTTGTCTTTTCTGTTAGTACTAACTCAGTTGCTACTATTTGCTGGTATGCATGTCCAAGTGTTTTCTCTTTGAACACCCAACTTGCTTGAAGACCAACTTCTCTTTTCTCTTTGAACACCAACTTCCCTTTTAAATTTTTTGCTTTCTTCCAATTTCCTTCATTACTTCTACATTTGTTTTCAGTGCTGACACAAGAAAATTAAGATTTTTTGATTGTTACACTTCCATAAATTTTGTATTCCTATCAATTTTTTTAAAATATCAGTTGCATCAAAAGCAAGTTTAAAGCAAAGTCCAAAGGATAATTATTTGAATCAAAAGATTTTTGTTAAATTGAGAAAGAAGTAAACCACTCCAGCAGCACTTATCCTGTACCACGGAGTGGCCTGATTTTTATACTGGGTGAAAAACTAGCCCACTTGCAAACCATTGTTTTTGAAGGAGCAGATTCACTCAACACATTCACCATTTCGGTATGAATTTCCATTGCCTTTAAACCTTTCTTTACAAAGAATAACTGCACATTGCTCAATTTTATCCATACCTGAAAAAAGGCACAACACGTTAGATATAAAGGGCGGTTAAACAATGAATAAATTAACAGATCGAAATGAAACTTTTGACATGTTCCTAAGAAAGAACAAATATGAAAATGGCGTCGAAGTTTTAGGTCTAATATTGACGAATAGATGGCGCTCCGCGAACTTATTGAACAACCTTGTACATATCCTAAGTCGCGCTATCAAGACATGAAAAACACAAGTTGACTTTCGTAAATCGGCCGAGTAGAACGGGAGATATAGAACTGCGCCCTCTTTTTTTTGCAGTGTACATAGATAGATGATTTTAGAACAATTATATGTGAAATTGTATTTTTCTGTATAATGTAATGCGAAAAATCTAAAGAGAAGCTATGCCAGAAAAGTAAGAATAAAGGAATAAGTCCATTTATCATTGATTAAATGGCTATCTTGGTAATTTGGTGAGATATCTCCAAGTTGACAATGTTTTTGGCGAAAAATGTCAGAAGTCGCGGAATTTGCCAACATTTTGGTCCGTTCCCTGTATCACAGTAATAGGTATTGTAATTGAATAAGTGTAATTGATCACTGTATTAGCTGCAGCAGTAATTCAACTATCATATTTCTTTCCAATAATTTTGAGAAGCAGAAAGTACTGGAAAAATCTCAGTGACCGATTGAAAACTATATTTTGCGAGTTGTTAGTTCAGCATGAACTGAGATCTCTGCAGATTAGCTTTCTGTTTAGATGCTCTTTGCATTGTGTTGTGTCTAATGTTCTTAATAGTTTGAAGCATAAATACTGATTGTACTGTATAATACTGTGAATTCCTGTATGAGTATTTCTGTGAAAATTTTCAGAGCTTTGAAGTGTTTCATTTGTTAAAAAGACATTTTATTAACCTATCAGACTTGTGTGCATTCAATCTATTATGCACCCGTATGCATGCAACAATATGTTAATCACTTAAACTACAAAAAACTTTCACAGCTACTTGCCAGTCTGAATTAATAAATGGTGATTTCTCAGTTAATTAGGGTTTTTTCTTTGTGTGTGTGTGTGATGGTGGGGAGGTTTTTGAAAATCTTAGTGTATTAAGTGGCTGAGTTTATAACCAGGATATGGAGAAATGAAATTTATGTGTAATACTATCACTACAATTTTCATTCTTGAATTTAAGATTTATGGAATATTTTGCATTATTTAGAGTCTACTATTTTTATAGGTATATTTTAGATTAATATGTTACATTTCAAAATAGTATCTTATGTTTTTTAATTTATATTAAATTTCTTATGAAAAGATATTAATTTGTATTTAGAAACTATAATATTTTATATAATTTTATTTTTTGCATATTGCAGTTTGCTCAACTGAAGATTAAGGATATGGCTGAAACAATTAAAAAGCTGGTTTCAGATTTAGAAGACGTCTCTGCTTGTTTGAACTTATCAAGCAAGGACATTTTACCTACACAGTAAGCTTAAGTATTCTTTATGCGTTATCTTCAAAAGCTGAGAAAGAATTTTAGCATTTTCTGATTATCAGCATCCTCAGTTTCAACATACAGTAGAATATTAATATTTTAGTGTATTATTGAGAATACAATGGGACAATATAATCCATATATATGTGTGCGTACCATACATATGTTTGAGTATATGCGAATTTACACGCTTTATATTTTAAAATCAATTTCCTTGTTTACTGGCTGTAAAAATGTAGATATGCCATACAGATTTTTGAGGAAAAATTTCTGGCTACACTTAAAATGCTTTTACTATTATTTATGAACTGAATATTTATAGGTTGTAAACATAGCCAATTAAATGTTCTTCACAATTCACAATATTACCAATAAGTTGTCGACGTCTCGTGGGGGTGCTGATAATCAGAAATTACTGAGCTATTTTTCTTTAAATTTTCAAAAGGAAATGCAGAGATGTTAAATAAAGTTTAGCGAAAGAGTAAGGTAGTGTTTAAATAAAAGCTACTACTATCAGTCTCTTTTTTTCTTTATTATTAGTTTTTTAATGTTATTTAAAATGTTCCATCTTTATGAATGCTTTATTTTCTGTAGAAGCATTAACAGACTTTTTCAAATTTGATTCATCATGATGATAATTTTAAAAAATAATAAAAAGATAGTTTTATTGGAAAACTATTGGAAAGTTAGAAACAACTTCATCAATCACTTAGGTAGTAAGAAATGGCTTTATTGTTGGTTGAGATAAAGTAGCTAACTTCTATCCAAAGTCAGTTTCAAAGTGAATATTCAGGATCAATGAGATAAATACTATATTGTCTGTAGTTAACGTTTTTAATATCTGCTTTTTGATTCCTTTGGCTAAAGAAGGAACACTTTTCCTCTTCTCTAACAACTGCAAGATATTTGCTTCTGGCATAAGAAGGCAATTTCATATGGTAAGCCTTGATGCAAAAAGGTCTGATGTGTGTGCCAATCACGTACAGTAGATGCTGATTTTGTGCTGTACATTTCCTGAAGTAAACAGTATAGCAGTTGCAATCATCTAGCAGTGAAGTTAAATTCATTTTGCAATCTGATTAATATAATGCAGAAAGATTTTTGCAACAGAATGTAGGTCCAGTATTTTTCAGATATGGTTAGGCTGGGTTTTCAGAGATTTCTTTGAAATACTAACCTTCGCAGGCTTGGTTATTTATGTGATTCATAAATTTTCAGAACTATCAGAATGAAATTTTTGCTCATAACTTTCAGATTGCATGCCATTATAAATGGCAAGCTTTTTCTTTGATTAAATAATCTCCAGTTTTGTCAAACAACTTTAGCTGCCCAATTTCTTGAGCACAGTATTAAGCAAATGGCTTGGTCCTCTTGATCCTAATAAACATGCGTGGGACAATTTAAGAAAAAAAGGCCTCCTTTTTAACTAATTTAGCTGAATTATAAGTTGAAATATTTAATAATCTGTTTGAGACTAATAATTCATGTTTAATATAAATTATAAATCAGAATAACTTTAAATTTAAATTAAACTAAAATGAAAACTTTTTCCCAAATTTTCTAACAAAATTAATTTTTTACTCTTAATTTCGTTTTTCTGTTACAAATTTTAACACTCGCTGCTCAACTTCATTAAACCTTCCTTTTTTTGTAAACACAAAGATTTTATTGAGGAATCTGCATTATTACATTTTATTAAATATTTTCTCCAGAGATGGATGTCTTTCTTCTGCATTGCTTTCTGATCACAATCAGTGACTAATTTCACTTTTATCCATAAGAGGTAACTTCAAAATTTCTTTAGAGCTTCAATGATCACAAGTACTTTGAGTTCATAACTTGACAGTCTTTCTTGTAGTAGTGATGTATTTGTTTTACTCATATAATAGATCATATGCAGCTGTCCAGCATCTACGCATTGAAACCATAACTACTAGCGTCTTTATGTAATTCCAAAGCTATGGAGTACAGGTCTTTGGCTCAAAAGTTCTTTAAGATGGCTTAATGCTTGTTTCTGCATTGGCCCAAATTCACATTCTATGAAGCGTAGCGCTCAATAATTTTGCCGTTTTTGAATCCACAGGCACAGTTTTTGTACCTTATTTTGAAAAACCAGGTAATTTTCTGAAATACCCTGTGAAATAAAATAAGCTTTGCATTTGTTTGACATACTTAGGTTGAGAAAAATTTTTAACTGCAGGCATCTTATTTGAAGACTGATAAATTGTACCCTTTCAAATAAAAAACGAAGAAATTCAATTTTTCTTTTTAGGAATTGAGATATTTTAAAACTAATTTCTAATCTATATTCTGAAGCTACTTTTAAAACTTGTTTTCTAACTGTTTCATCACGGGAAACTATAATAAAATCATCCATGTAAATTACAACTGTATTATCCTTTATTAATACCCTGAATATATTATAAATACATCTTTAAAAAAATACGCTAGGATTTGTGGTCAAACCAAATGGAGCCCATAAAAATTCAAATAAACCTGCATGACACGTGAATGCTATGAATGACAATGAATATATTTTTTCTCAATTGGAACATGGAAAAATTCACTTTTCAATTCAAGTTGAAACAATTTTCATTTCCCCTAAATGATCGAATAGTTCCTTTACCTGAGCAATAGGAAAAGAATCTTTCTCCACTTTTTTATTTAATTGTCTAAAATTGACACATAGCCTATGTGTACCATTGCATTTTTGCATAACAGAATTGAGGATGTTTATTCAGAACAAGAAGATGTAATTATTCCGATCACTAGCCTCTGATCTATCTGTTTTTCAACAATTTTTTGTTTCACGAAAGGCAGTGTCTGAATCTTGCAATATCGGAATGTCTTTATAACACATTATTAATTTTTTTAATTTATTCTTTGGTTTTTATCTTATTTAAAAATTGTTAATCAATAACGATAAAACCTTTTGAATATTCACATCACTAACAAGCAATAAATCTAGATCACATTAATTAATTTCATATGCAGCATCTAATAAAAAAAAAAGTCTTATAAAGGTCATTTTAAAAATGACTTTTGACTGTTCTAAAGGTCACTTTGAAAATTATTTCCGGTTCTAGGAAACGGTGTATTACTTTTTTTCTTCCTGACTTCCTTTTAGAAGCTGAGAATAAATATTGAGTACTGAAAGGAAACGAGTAGATATTTTGTTTACTGTTGCAATAATTATTTCTAGCGTGGATGAATTTTGGTTCAGATGTAATTCTACTGCAGCATTATTTGTCCCCTTTTTTTCATAAAAATATGAGCTGAGTAATGAGTTTTCATCAAATATGATTCTACCCTTGAAAGGTGTTTTGGATACTATTCCATTCTGAGGACCGTAAAAAAATCGCCAAACTATTGTTGATGTCAGTGCTGCCAAAAATAATTACGACAACCTTAACGCAAGAAAGGAAGTATAATAGTAAATAACTATCTAAGATTATTGTTTTAATTTAGATGAAAGGTTAATTTCATATAATACTTTTTATTATTATAATTTATATAAAATAGGCTAAACATAACTGAATGGATTCTTGCAAACGCTATTTCGCTACCGAGTTATCGCTAAAAGCATAATTTCATCTTGTTGGTTGTTCTAACATGTTTTTCTATGATGAATGATACCTTTTCTTTGAAAAAATTCTATTGGAGACTTTTCGTCATGGGCAATTCCCAAATTGTTAAATCGATAGAATATCAAAAAAGGATTTAAAAAAGAATTAAATTAGTATTTCAAAGGTGTCTTAAGAAATATAGAACTATTTAAACTTTTTTTACCAAGAAGCTAATTTGAAAGTGCGTACGCTAGATTCGGTACACTGTTAAATGGGGGCTTTTGCGCATACATTTTTGCTGCAATTTTTTTACGGTCCACAAAATGGAGAATAGCACCATGTTTTGATTTCAGTTAACAATGAATTTAAAACTATAACTTGAGCATATGAATCGCTAAGTGCTTTTATTTTTTTGTTTTCTATTAAATATAAGCATATTGTAACTCATGAATTTAAAACTGACATTATTAATGCCGGTTTTGTTTGTTCTTTCCATTTCCTTATTTAATGCAAATTGTATCTTGAACCTTTTTATGCAGTCCCTAGTGAAATGAAAATTTTCCCCACAAACATAGCATCATCTCTCAGCCAAAGGCAGAATCACATCTGATTCGCCGCCATTTTTATTTCGATGGATTGATTTATAATTCATAGTTTGTTTTTTAATACTTGGTACTTTCACTTCATTAGAATGATACCCAAGATTATTTATTTAAGACAATGAGTTTCCGTGCGATGAGAAATATAATTGCATTCTCTCTTTAGTCAAGTTGGATTAAACCATGTTTTAATACTTTAATGTAAGCACTTTAATACTTTTTTTTATTATATTTTCAACACTAATCTGTATGTTTCTTCAATTATTGTGTTTTTAAATTTTCTAATTCAATCTGCTGCTTCTAAGCTGACTTAAGAAATTCTGGTACTTACGTATTATCGCAACCAGGTTGGCGCCATTTGTAAGTTTGAGTAAAAAAGTATGAATAGAAAGAAAATGTACATTTATTAATTACAGATAATTTTTAATACAGTTTTTTATATTATTTTGTTTTAAAATCTAAAATAGCAGTTAAACCCTTCCGGTTTCGAATTTGAATAAGTTGCAGAATTATTTTTTCGGCAGAAATCTTTTGGCTATTGCTTTTAGCACTGATTGAAAACCGTTTTCGCCATAACCATGTACACGTCGACTTATTATTACTTAAAAAAACATCCCAGAATTGCACAAAAATGGCATTGCGCACACTCTTGACTTTATCCATGTACACTGCTATTTTCTCATAAATTACAAAAATTTGCACGAAAATGTAGGAAAATTTTGTGAATCTCCACATGCTCTTTTTACAAAACTACGTATAACACGTAGGGTTGTCGTAAGTAGGGTCGCCAAATTTGGCAATTTATGCGAATTTTGGCCTGGTTGCG